TTCACGCGGGTGTGCAGAGGAGCTGAGTCGCACTGACCTTGAGTGAATTTCTTGGAAGGCTCACTCAAGAAAGCCAAGTACTCGCTAAAAAAAGTTCGGCCGCAAAACTCTCGTTGTGGCCACTCACAAGGTTGGGTCACACCCTCCTTCAACCGCCACCTCTGACTCAGGCGTCGCTCACCAACACAGAAGCGAGCCCGCCGTTGAGGAGGGCGTCACATGCTCAAATCCCACAGTCTCAATGTCACACCTTCCACCAAAACAACGCCGATTTAACCCACCAAATACCAAGTCAGGACACCACCTGCCTGCCGCAATACTTGGTGGTCCCCGACCCAATCCCCGCTTACTTGGTATACCGCAAAAAAAAAAACAGCGGCCTTAACAGTCCTTACAGGTACCGCGTGCCGCAACGTCCTCAACAAGACGATCGCCACACCCTTTCTATTACAAAGTGCACTTCCACCTTGGCGGTATCGTCCCTGCCACAACGTCCAACCCCCCTTCACGCAGTCCTGTGCAAAATACTGTTGCCACACAATCCACTAGCACCCCCGTTGTACCGCTGAGAAAATCGGTGCTGCCGCCGCACAATTTCGGCAGCGCTTCCGCTGTACTGCCAAGAATACCGCCGCTGCCGTTGCACAATTTCGGCAGCGCTTTCGCTGTTCCGCCAAGAGTACCAGCGCTGCCGCCGCACAATTTCGGCAGCGCTTCCGCCGTACCGCCAAGANCGTTGCACAATTTCGGCAGCGCTTTCGCTGTTCCGCCAAGAGTACCAGCGCTGCCGCCGCACAATTTCGGCAGCGCTTCCGCCGTACCGCCAAGAGTACCAGCGCTGCCGCCGCACAATTTCGGCAGCGCTTCCGCCGCACAATTTCGGCAGCGCTTCCGCCGCACCTTCCTAGAAAACCAGCAGTAACCTCAAGGCCACGGCTTCCCCACAGCCTGCAGCACAACACAGAAGGTGGGGCAAAAAGCTCCCAACCTTTAGCTATGGATGCCTCCTCCTTCCTCCAAGTGTTTCTGCAGACCTCCAACACTTCGCCTCATCACACCAGCAGCCAACCAACCAGCATCTACTCGAGTAAAATGCCCCAACAGCATTGCCACAAGTGTGAGGCTGCTGGGTGGCAGGCTAGCTTTTATAGCTGGCTGAAGGCTGAGGGCAGCTACTTTGCCCTCAGCCAAATCCCGGAATAGAGCCTGGCCCTATATCAAACTCGAGATCAAGGGCCAGAAAACTTGATGTTCCCATAGGGGAACCCAGTTATAAACCCTGGGTATGCATCTGGCCTTCACCCGCGGCCAGACGCAGTCCAGAAATGGTTGTACCCAGCCATTTCTGAGCAGACTGTTGTAACCAACAGTTACAACAGTCTGCAGTCTATTCACAGTCCAGATGCTTCTAAACTTGCATCTGGACCGAGGCCGCGGCTAGATCCGCGGCCGTTCCCTTTTCTTTTCCCAACTTCTTCCCCCTTCTCTTTTTTTTTCTTCCTTTCGCTTTTTTTTTTTTTTTTTCCTAGAGCAGGGGCAGCTCGTCGTTAAAAATGAACGAGCACATTAACCCCCCCCCCCAGTCATTTCACAGAGTCGGACTAGAGTCAAGCTCAACAGGGTCTTTTTTTCCCCCGTTGCCCTGCGCCCGTACCCGGACGTTCCCGGCGCCAGGTTCAGGCTCGCAGGCAAACACTGCAGCCCGTTTCAAACCCAACGGGTGCAGTGCTGGTCTCTCTCTCTCTCTTTCTCTCTCTCTCTCTCTCTCTCTCTCTCTCTCTCTCTCTCTCTCTCTCTCTCTCTCTCTCTCTCTTCG